AGAAAGAAAGAAAGAAAGAAAGAGAGAGAGAGAGAGAGAGAGAGAGAGAGAGACAGGCTTATTTGTAGGAAAAATGTCTAGACATTGAATAACTGTTCTTGTAAATATTTTTAATGCTGATAGTCATTTTCATTTCCCCATAGATTCTATAAATTATATGTCAGAGCAACTACCTATATAAGACCTTGCCTATATTTTTTATCTGCCTTTTTACTCACTTTTAATTGAACGGGAGTTTTAAAACACATATGACAAAATGAAATACCATAAAATAGTTAAGAATATGGATTCATGTCAACCTAAATTCAAATTCTACCTTTGGACTTATACGCCTCTGTCTTGTTTTCTCATTCACAAAATGGGTTACTGTGTAGAGCAAATGAGCTACCATGCGAAAAGAATATGGACCATAGTACAAAGCACACAGTGCACGGTAATATCATAAATGTTTGTCAGCAGTACTGTTATTCATAGACAACGATCTCACTCAAAATTGTCATTTTACTAACGTAAGCTAGGACACTTAAGAAACCCAAGTTCATGGATTTGAATATAATTCTATGAAATCGTAGTTACTGGGGGCAGTGATGGAAAAGACATATTAGCTCCTGCTTCATAGAAATCAAGGGGAATCAGTTCTCAATGCTAGTATTCACTTTTGTGGAGATATATCTCCATGTACTCTCTGGCAAAATTGAAAAATAAGTAAGAGTCATGCATGAATATTTAATTTACTGCACTCTTGTGTGGGTAAAGAAGAATAAAAATGAAGAATTCAGATTCAGAGACCTAGATTACAGGTTGTGGCTCTAATCAGTTACTCTGTATGTTTCACTGGACATTTCTCTAAACTCCTTTCAGGCCTGATTTCCATTCTGAGGGGAAAAAATGGTGCCAGAAAGTCCCTCTCACCAAGTGATGATAATTTAAATGAGTTAACACTTGGAATTGTACTTTGGAAATGCTTACATACAACTGTATTCCTCATATCCTTCCAGTAAATGCTTGCCCTCAAATACTTAACCTGAATCAGAAAATTTGGATTTTTAGCTATGTTTGAGAAACCTGGATGTGTGTCTAAAAATGCCTGTGTACGTTGCGTGTTTGGTTTCTAGAGTCGCTTGGATGTGTACCTCTCACACAACCCAGCTGGAACTTCTGTTCAAAACCTCTTACACTGGACTCAGGTATCGTGTCTCAAATGCTGTTCAAGTTTTTTCTTGGCCTGAACCCTTGGTACTTTACCTAAAGCACATTCTTAAAATAGTCTCTCAAATGCTTCTGGCGGGTAAATTTTCTGGCATATGACTACCAGATGAAAATACCCATCAATCCATGTAATGAAAATCTCACAAAAACAGGTGCTTTGGGGCAAAATTAATGAATAATTATTATAACCTGACATAAAAGAAAAATTATTTCAAGCAAAACTACACTTAAACTTGCATAAATACCTTGTCCTACATGGATAATAACCTTTTTTGTTAAAATGAAAACAATGATTTAATAACTGTCTAAACTGGAAAAAACCACTTGGCAATGTTTACGTTTTACTGTTCACATAGGATAATTTTAATTTTTTTTGTGTTTTAAATTTCTCTACCTTAGGCTATTAAGTCTGGAAAATTCCAAGCTTTCGACTGGGGAAGCCCGGCTCAGAACATGATACACTACAGTCAGGTGAGCTTCTCAAAGTTGAAATTATCCACATTTTGTAAGACAAGGATATAAAAGCTAAAAAGGAAATGATAATAAGCATACACCCCTTTGCTGAGAATGCTGACGCCCTGCCCCCTGTTCTCCCACGTCGGGCACTCCTTTTCCAGCAGCCGTTGCTGGTGTGAGCTGCCCTCAAAATACCACACCCACACATTCCCAGAACTTACCACCACCCACTGCCATATATAACCCTGTCCTGTATCCCAGTCCCCTAGCTC